CGAATGCTGTCTAGCTTTGGGTACCATCAGAGTCGGAACTTCCGGTAAATCTAGGAATTCCGACGGCATGTTGCCAACATTTGTACCATTAGTCCTCCTTGATGATATCACGACCTAACATTGTTCTTATTTGGTTATCTGTGGCGCGTCTACCTATGTGGCTTTTTATTGTAACCCCTATGAGACCGAAAGCTTGCCTAAAATGCTTCCGCCCCGTTCACCGGCAATATCAAGCTGACTCCATATCGCCAGTTCGCATGAAGATGTTTGAAGGTCTGCTGCGCTCCGGGAAATCATCAACATGGTACTCAATCTCCGGTCCCTCTTGTTTGAAACCCAACTTCGAATAGACATGTCTCCCCATGCTGGAACCCTCGAGAATGGCCTCAAGTCCGCCCCGTCGCTTGGCCTCTTCCAGACCCCACAACACCAATTTCTTGGCAGCGCCTCTTCCTTGGAACTTCGGGTCCACGGCGCACAAATCCAGCGCAAAAACGGCCGGAGGGTTCGCCGTCGCTTTTTGCTTGATGACCTCGGTGCGGCGCCGATGAAGGGAGCCGATGCACTGAGCCAAGTATCGCTGCTCAGTCTCGTTGTCGGGGTAGAGCGCCTCGACTCCGAGGCTCTTCTTTAAGTCCGTCGGGCTCGGCTCGCCGTAGCCCTCGACAGCCGAAGCCTGCAACCAAATGGCCATACCAGCGATTCTGCGTTGTCCGGGTTTCTCGGGGTCCGGGACTGTAGCCTTGAGGAAGACCGTGTTCGGCTGGCCCTGCTTGTTGGTCGTGATTGAACGCCAGCGGGCAGCCATGCGCTCGGCGCTGGCGGCGACACCTTCGGGCGTGTCCCAGCCTGGGTTCATGCCCATGTAGACACCATCGCGCGCTTGGTGACAGAAGGCGTTGATGGCTGCGTCAGCGGCCTGGTGGAAGTCTTCGGCTTGTGTGATGACTTCGATGAGGGGTTCCTGCGGCCCCGCGCTGTCACCAGCCATTGTGTCTCGTTGATGCGGGGTGCGGGGTTCAAACACGAGGGGCTTGGTAGCTGGTCTGCAAAGATGTTACACGAAATGCAATGCAACAACTCGTCAAGGGGCAGGAATTTCGTTGCGTGTGGAGGGATAAAGCTGAAGACACATTCAGGAACAGGTGAGCGTTTTCCCTCCAGGCCGTCAAGGTTGGCTACATAATGCCAAGCCACGAAAGGTCCAAGCCGTAATGATCCCTCGATTTCCCCGCGCTGTGACCCACTGAACTCCGCATCTTGGGGTCATGCGCGGGATATTTTGTCACCAAGATCATTGCGATTGCGGCCTTGAAAAGGACGTTTGATGTCCTCCTTTCGCAGCAGATGAATGCCCTCCGGTCATGATCAGGCGTTGCTGTAGAGCAGAAGGAAGATGCTCCCAGCTGTTGGTGTGGCAGTCTTTGGCAACAAAAACAGCTCTCGTCTCCTGTGGAAACTGCAGTCAGTGTGTAAGTTACAGGCACAACTCCCTTTGCGGCTACCATATCCAATTGAGACCTAGTTCGTAGATTGGTGTTATTCGAGTGGTTGTCCAAGTTGTGCATTACTATTGAAGTTCCATTGAGCCCAGTCATGCATACATGCATGTGTTCACAGAATCCAGCCCAACGGCATATGTAAGTAGATAGGGAGAAGCTAGCCTATCTTCGACCAGTTGGAAAGTCTGAAAGCCTGGCCTTAAGTTATACAGTAAAGTGTGCACCTTGGATCGAAATGGTGTTGTGTCTGTTCTCCCTAATCTCAGCTTCATCGGCCTCGTTCCGGTTGACTCGGGCCCCCTCCGGAGGCTGGTTTTGGAAGCGGAACTTGTCCGAGCGAGGGCCTGCTAGTACACGCAGCAAGCCCACTACATAGAACACACGGGTAAATCCTCGGAAATGAAACAGCGAGAGGAATGTCATCTGGAACACTGTAAGCTTTCTGTTCACACCGTAATCGAAAACTTCAAGCGAGAGCTAGCGAAGACAAACTCTGTCATGACACCGATCTATCTTCCTCCGTTGGCTTGGAACTGTCACACGCACTGCTTCAACCCAGAAAAGTACCCTTTCAAAGCAACTCGCGCTTACACCCCCGAACCTGCTAGTGTTGATGCACTCATCAAAAACTCTTTCACGGATCAGCTCATGTTGGTCCAAGCGACCATAGAAGATGGGTACCGTGGTCTGATCGGAAATCTGAATGAGTGTCGCGACTCTGATCCCAGAAAAAGGGCATTGGGCACTATCTTCTGGGACCCAGAATCAGTACAGAAGCTTCAGGGTTTAACAGGAGCTGACTTTGATACGCTCCACGACGCTGGTGTAAGGTCTGTTCGTATTCATGGTTCATACGGGGGCTCGGGTGGCGATCTGGACTGGGTCAAGAAGCAGTTCCTGGACGTTGCCAGACACTGTCCTGTTCACCGACACAACTGGAGCATCTCGGCTCAGCTTTCACTTTCGACATGGTCATCATTGGAAGCTACCTTGCTACAAGAACCACTACTTGAGGGCGTCTCTATCATTGCCGATCATAATGGCTGTGCCAACCCCTCCGACATAGGTAGCGCGGAGTTGCACAGCTTCCTGCGTCTTCTAGAGTCTGGGAGGTTCTTTGTCAAGGTAGGAGCCTTGCATAGACGGTCACCGACGAACATCAACTTAATGCGCCCACTTATCGAGATCTTTGCCAAAAGTGCGGCAGACAGCATCCTGTGGGGAAGCGATTGGCCTCATATTGACGGAAGTGTTCGCGGTCTTAATCCCACGCCTTCTCTGCCGGTTGATACTCAATTAGAGCTAGCAGCCTTGAAGGAGTGGCTTACGACAGAGCAATGGATGAAAATGCTTGTTCACAATCCAACACGGGTGTTCGGCACCGTCGAGAACTAGACATGGGGAAAACCTGGGGTGAGAATGGGCAATGAGGGGATTTCGGATCGGCTCCGGACCGGAGGCCATTTTTGGTCTGGGGTATGGGGAGCGTGATGTGGGATTGAAGGCGAAGCGCGAGGGACTCCATAGCATTTGCCAAGTCAAAAAGACCCTTTTCGTTCCTGTCTCCCATATTTCTAAATGTGTCTTTAGAGCTTTGTTTCCATTGCTTGTAGCTTGGCTCGGCAATCAACACAATTCAGACGACAACCAACACAATGGCGATGAACAGTGTTCCAAAACCTGCTCTGAACGAGATTTCTAAGCAAGGAAGCGAAGAAATTGAGAATGTTCCAACAAAGAACCTCACGTTGATGGACACATACCGGTCCTACTCGCCCGAATTCTCAAAAGAAACCGAACGACAGCTTGTTCGGAAGATAGACGGCCATCTCTTACCTCTCATTGTTATTATTTATCTGTTCAACTATCTTGATCGAAATTCGATTACCCAAGCGCGTCTCTATGGCCTCCAGGAAAACACCCACGTCAAAGGTGCAACGTATCAAACCGCCATTTCGATCTTTTCTGCAGGCTATATCGCGATGCAACTGCCGTCAACTATGCTCATGACCAAGATGCAGCCGCATATATTTCTGGTTAGACCTACTCGATGGAAACACATGTGTGACGGAGACTAACTTATGACAGCCTGGATGCATTATCATCTGGGCCATAGTGAGCGGCTGCACAAGTGCCACGTCTTCTCCAGCCGGCTTGCTGGTCGTTAGGTTCTTTTTGGGAATCGTCGAAGCTCCCTTCTTCCCGGGAGCCATGTACTACCTGAGTTGCTGGTACACGAAAAAAGAGCTCGGATTGCGCATGGCCCTACTTGTCTGTGGGCTGCTCTTGTCGAACTGCTTCGCCGGTCTTATATCAGCTGGGATTCTTTCAGGGATGGCTGGGGTGGGACACCTCGCTGCATGGAGATGGCTCTTCATCCTCGAAGGTCTTGCTACAATTTGCGTCGGGGTTACTGCTTTCTTCCTTCTTCCCGACTACCCGGGAACCACGAAATGGCTGTCAGAGGAGGAGAAGGTCATTGCGCAGGGCCGCTTGGCTGCAGACGCCGGCAGTGAAGAAGTTTTGGGCGAGGACGAGATTTCGATGAAGCAGGCTATCTTGGCTGCATTGGCGGACTACCGAGTTTGGTTGTTTGCCCTACTTCAAATGTCGACAACTGCTTCTATCTCATTCTCACACTTCTTCCCAACCTTGATTCAACAGCTTGGTTTCAAGAACAATACTATCGTTCTTCTACTTACAGCGCCTCCCTACTTCTTCTCTTTCATCTGGGCCTTGACACTGGCTTGGGACGCCGACCGACGGCAGAAAAGATCACCTCACGCGAGCATCTCCGCCATTACTGCCATTGCCGGAACTGTCACTTTGGTCGCCATGGGTGATCAACGTTGGGCTCGCTACGCCATGACCTTCCTCGTCAGCGCCGGAACCTTCGGCATCTACTCAACGACTTACCCCTGGTTGTCTTCCACCATCGTTCAACCAGCGGTCAAACGCGCAGCTGCCATCGGTATTGCGAACACCCTAGCAAATAGTGCTTCATTGTTCGCCAACTACTTTTGGCTTGATGAATACGGCCCAAGCTTCCGAGTGTCCTGGGCTTGTATTTTGGCTTTTCAAGTACTCGGTCTGTGCTGCATCTTCGGCCTTCGTATTTGTCTCAAGAAGGCGAACCACAAGTTTGAAAGGCTTCGAAGTGAGGTGGACCAATATAACGAGGAGGCGATGAATAGGCTCGACAAAGACTCGCAGAGAGCTGTTTTGAATGGGTTCAGATACATCACTTAAGTTAGCGACTAATGTTGGCCAAACTGGTGCGATGAAACATAGACAGATTACGCGCCTTCTTCACAAAATCCCACTTAGTAAATTCAAGACTGCAATCAATAAAACCAGCACATTTTCATGTCTGAAGTAGTAATACATATTCGTCTAATCCACCGTTTGATTTATCAGAACGAGTGATCGATGCTCCTAAGAGCCACATGCCCTTATTCTCGGTCTCCCCGCCAAGGCTCCAGTGCTTTCCCAATTTGCCTAATCCTTCTTTACGCATGAGAACAATACTGTCTGGTGTTCTCTGCCATACAGAGGTCCCACTAAATAGATCTGATGTCACTAGAAGTGTCTCAGTTTCTGTTTCGATATCCACAGAAACCCTGAAGTCCTTTTTCGGTTCTCGAAATGCATCTACAAACGCCCATGGCTCACCCTCGTGCAAACCGAATGCGACGGATATCGTCACATTGTTCAGAGGGTGCCTGGTGTTTGATGACCTGAGCAACGCAGACACATGACGCCCTTGTGTCAGCACTGTAAGCTCTAATGTTCCCGCTGGTCTAAGGTGTGTGATATGAATATTCGATGACTCGTTCGCCGCAAATTCTGAAGAAGTTGAGTGTTGCACGTTGAAAATAACATCTGTATGCTTTGTAAGGGCAATGGAAAATCTGGCGAAAGATACTGGAAAGCGTTTTGTCTTGGGAGCAGACAGAAAGTTGGTCTCAGAGTGCTTGTTTCCAGATATCAAGAGCTTCGTGGCTGGAGCAAAGTCGAGATATCCACCATCTGGCATAGGTCGGGAAATCAGCGTTTGTCCATTGAATCTCACTCTGGTGAAATGTTCTGCGGGGCCGTCGGTCCTTTTTTGAAGGAAGATGATGATAGAGGTATCTTCATGGACATCGTGCGCAGCCAGGAAAGCGAAATAGAAGCCTTCGAAATGAGGCGAGAGGGCTACTATTGGGAGGTGAATTTGCAAGCCGTAGTTTGTCATGAAGTAGTAGGGCTTCAGATTCGCCCCGGTTATGTTGAATCGCTCAATAAACTCAATGTACGTCAGAGATTCAAACTGACCACACTGCTGGAATGGTCGTGGAGAAGTCGCCAGCATGCCGTCGTACATATCATCTTCTGCTGCTCTCCAGGCAAAAATGGTGTGGTCAGGAGACGCTTTCATGATCTCCTCTTGCAGTCGACGAAAAGCTTTCTTTCCTTCACCGTATACTGTAGGCATATTGACCCCAAATAGCCCCATCAAGGAGTACGCTTCGTCCTCGACGCGGGTTGTCCGCCTCAGGGACGCCCAAGACATCTTTTGTGCCACACTTGCCGAGTGCAGCATGTTTTTGTTATTCAGTATATTCTGAGGAATACCTGTCTCCGACGAAATGATCTCTGACAAGGTGGACTTGCTACCGAGGGTTCGCATGCTCCATTGACTGTCGAAGAATATCACCTCGTCTGGGGCGATGAGTTCTTGCAAGGTCCAGCCTCTTTTGAACCAGGTGCTTTGCCGGAAGCAAGAATTCCTTCTGAAAACGTTGTCATTTGGCGGCACGTCCTCCATGTATGCAAAACATATTCGCGAGGCCTCGTACCAGGAGTACATAGAATTAATTGCTTCCGAAAGCTCGGCACTACTGGACTTGTCAATGCAGCAAGTATCAATCCATGCATGGCTAAGTCCGTATTCAAGGGCTTGGACACAACAAGATACAATCTTGTGGTATCCTTTCTTCAATGTTCCGGATGGAGTTTAAAGCAGAAGGTCCCGGAAGGTAGGCTCGTCGTCTGGGGAACCCCACCTGTGTGACAGTATTGCATACGGCGGAATCTCGTCGACGTAAAGTTTGAGTTCAATGAAGGGACACCCCGTGTCTTCTGTTTCTTCTATGTGAAGAAGATACATGGTGGAAATTCTTGTTCAGGGTCGAATACATAAGGAGAATATTCATGGTGCTGACCGATGGGCATGAAAACGAGGGTATGGTGGTGTTTGATGTGTGTCAGCTGGTCCAACACCAGAGATTACATCATGGCAAAGAAGGCGGCGTATGCATGTTTGAGGCGCAGTGCACTAGGCGGCGAAGTCCTTTTGTAAAAGCATATGCGGTGCAACCGAAGGAATCCTCGGCCTTGCCCAGTCATTTTGTCTCGAAAGATATCACAAGCTGACGGCATGTTGTACTAAAGCAAGGCTCTAGCTTCACATCGCGTATCACATTTGATCTAGAAATTTCGGCCTTTTCGCTCAACTTATCATGATTCTCTTGCTGTAGTAGTAGGATCCCAACTACGAAATGATATCCTGTTGAAAATCATAGATCTTGAGGATAGCCTCTGGCCAGCTACTGTGATTTTTACCTGGAACCTATACTGCAGCGACCTCCAACTTCCCCCTTCAGCTAACAGCCTACTAGTCATATAATCTCCCGCAGATCGCTATCTCTTTAGCCCTATTTCCCCCACGCGCGCTATCACAATCTCATCACTTTTAACGTTACTTTAATAATAACTTCACAACTTTAACTAGACTTAATTGCTACAGACTTTCTATAACTTTTCGATCTATCTTCTAACTCTTATATACACCTTTTATCACTCAGCTTTCTTCTCTACCGCCTACCTTTCTATAATTATTAGTAATATCTATAATATTATAGTTCAGCTAAGTTAGCTTACTAATTATACTACCCTACTAAGGATATTATTAAAATAAGTGTAATAGTTAGGATTAGTAGTAAATATAGATATATCCCTTAGCTAAAGTATATAGACACTTTCTATAGCTATACTACTAATATTAACCTTTAAAACTATTAGGTATAACTTAGCTATAGTTATCTTATCTTTAGGGCTCTATAAGTAAAAAGACGTTAATTTACTAATTATAGTAAGCTTAGCCTTATAGTTAACATTAATTATTATATCTTAAGATATATATTATAGTTAGCTATCTAATAGTAAGGTCTGCTAACAGAAGCTAAAGATTAATATATTATAATAGTACACTAGGTTATAGTCTTAGTTATAGGTTATAAGCTGTAGTAGATTAAGTTTTTAGAGATTAAGGTGATCAGTCTTAAGCTTAATAAGTAATTTGTAGTAAAAATAAGCTAAAGATATCTTAAGGATAAATATAAAGTTAATTACTAAAGAGCTATAGAAGTCTAACTATAAGCTAAGCTTAAGGTTATATTATATGTAGGTTTCCTATTTAAATAATTTTGCTATTTATAAGTACTATTCTTTTTATTATATAAGCGTTTATTCTAGAATAAAATAAATACTTATTTTAGTATCTACTAAACGCTTATTATAGGTGTTTTATCTATATTCACTCCTTATTATTATATGACTTATATTATAATTTTTCTATTTCTAAATAAGTCTTTATAATTCCTTATAATTCCTATAATCTTATAATATAAATATTGAGTTTTAGCTACTTAATAACCTAATAGGTTATATAGCTATTATTTTTAATTATAGGTTATAATATTAAGTCTCTTTTTTAAAGGTTTGATCTTTAAAATTTAATATAAATAGGTTATTAGTCTTAGGTTAGGGATCTATTAATTATAATTTTTGATTTTCTTATAATATTAATATTACATTAAGTTATATTTAGAAACTAAAACCTTTCAATATTTCTATTTATTATTATTTATTTTGAATTCTTTAATTTACTAATAAAGGTATTTAAAACGAAATAACGTAAATGATAAGCAAGCTGAACACCTAACCGCAACCACATTATAAATATAATCATCAAATAACCACAAAAACTATAAATTAATTAAAACTACTCAGAAACCTCTTCATTAGACGTTTCTTCAACAAATTAACATGTTTGCGCATTATGACTGGTGTTCCTATAGACGCCACACCGCCGTTAGCCTGTCTCAGTCCTTAGCCGACAACCACTACTCTAATGCATTTCCTCCTCGATCTGAGTTGTCGCCTCTCTCTGCGACTGAATATCCTCTGCCTCAGCTACAGTAAGACTTCCTCCTTATCTAAGATGTGTTTTCTTAGTCCTCCTACGTCAGCTAAGTAGGTTATTCTCTTCCTGAAGTATTTGGACCTCAGACCTCAATAAGGTAATCTTATGTATAAATCTACGCACCCCCTTTGATAAATACTTAACAGCCTTAATAATTAAAGTTAGTAAGCTATTTTGATAGCGTGAGATTTAATTCTTAATAAGTTCAGACTGAGAAGACGCCTCTGTTAGGTTGTTTAGCGTCTGAGAAGTCTACGCAGGGGGTGTTATTAGGAGAGACCCTAGAGGCGTTAGAGTGTGTAACTTTATATTAAGCTTAGATAGCACACTCTCTACACTTAAAGGCATAAGCCTAGCCCCTCTGAATCCTCCCTGAATATTTTTTTCTGTAATTGCTTTTATTAATGCTCTGTAAAACGCAGGGAAGAAGTCCTCTTTTATGACATAGGTATCACCCTATTGCATCTTTTCCTCAATTTCTCAGCTGTAAGCCTTCTTTAGTGGCCTAAAACACCTAACATCTAAGGGCTGAAGTAAATAAGAGGAATAGGCTGGCATATAAAGTGTAATAATATTGTTTTCCTTATTATATATCTTAAAGTCAGCTGTATAGTGACTTTTATAACTATTAATAATAAGGAGGTGATATCTGCTACTTACACGCAGTTTTATATGCTGATCAAAGTGCTAGAGCTAATCTAGGCCTCTTTTGTTTGTTATCTATCTGTTTTCAGACGTTATAATAACCTAGTCGCATAGTAGATTAGTTTCAGTATACCAGGTGGAGAGGTGATATTAGCCTGCAATAATAATATATAACAGAACGCTGTAGCCTGACAAACTGATAGCCTGAATAACTGTAACCTATTCATAATTGCTAGGCTGCATTATTTTTATGTTTGAACGCCTTTTGGCACTTATGATAACTATCCCAGATGCAATCTGGCCTATTATAAACCTAGTCTCATCAAAGTTATAGATATCAGAGTCTATAATGCTGTATTTCGCAATTATGTTCGCTATAAGATGAAACCATACGTTTATTGCGTCTGGATCTTGCATTAGGCCCTCTTATAGTTATACTTGCGAAAAAAGCGCGTCTGGAGCTATAGTTGTCGCTTAATAAAGTTTGAAGCCTAGCGCTTCCTAACTAGGGGCGCGTCGCAGTCGGCAAGCAGTTAATTAGCCATATCTTCAACACCACTAATCCGAGGAGGAAACAATTAGGAATCCAGGTTGAGAATATACTCAACAAGCTTTTCTTCTTTAAGCGTAGTCAATTTCCGCGAGTTAGGCGTGGTGTCGCGTTGTGATGATCTTCCCTTTAATCGATCGTATAACGTTATAACTGGGATGGAGTAGATCTAGGCAGCCTCTCAGATACTGAGACTTAGTGTGTTTTTGATAGCTTAGACTGCTAGGACCACTTAAGCTTCTTTTTGTGTTGATGCTATTATTATTATGGGATTGATGTGTAGTAGAAGTAAGAAGATGCTGTAGTTGCAGTTGGGTGTTCAGCTCGCTTATCTGTTCGGCTTGCTTATCATTTACGTCAATATTACTTATTTAAGATCTATATAGTACTAATTTAAGAAGTAAGATATAGAAAACTAAATAATATTTTATAATTTCTAGAAGTTTAAATTTATAGTCAACTAGTGAAATAACTTATAAGATTTTAAAACGTCCAAGTTCTTTAAAATTAAACTTATTGCTTAATTGTTTTATTTTAATATTTCACTATATAAGATAAGCGCTATCTCTCTTTTTTTAAGTTAAATTTTTAGTCTTTTACTAATTACTAAACTATATTATTTATTATTATATAAATTGAAGTTTTCTTATATATATTATTTTAAATATGTTTAATTTGTTATATCAAAATAATAGCTTTAATTATGGCTCAGCTTAATTATATATCTCTATAAATAGTTAGTTTAATCTACAGTTAAAATAGAAAAAAGATTCCTTAATATTTTCTGTGATTATATTATTATATATAAACTAAGCGATTAATAGTAGTATAACCTAATTTTCTTAATTATACTTAATATAAATATAGAGGTATATTTTAAAGATTTAGTTAACGTTTTCTATTTATTTATTATTTATCAATAAAATATAGTAGATATTACTTATTTAATACTAAATTATATTAAAATTAACTTTTAAGATTGAAAAATGAAGATCTTATCTTTATTTAATATAATTTCTGTAGGTGGTTTATAGTTAGTAATAATATATTTAAAGAATATATAAGTAAATTCTTTAATATTATTTAACTTTTTATATAGAATAAAATAAAT